CGTAACAAAACTATGAGCCAGTCGGTTGACAAATATAAATGAGTATTTTCCTCATTTTTAATTTCTTACTGGGCTTAATTTAGAATTAAGTAATCTTTGAGGATTTTTCATGTTTAAAATACATCACAAGAGATCATTTTTTTGTCTGACTTTGTTGGAGGAGAAGTGTGAGACTGAGTTTGTAATTATTTAGTCAGCAACCAGTAACTCAAGAAAGCATATGATAAATGTAATGGTTATGTATAGTTTATGTCATGCAATTTCCCCACTCAGTTCTATAAATAAACGTTTGGAGGTATAAATTCCAGTGGTTATAGCTTAGAGGCCAAAAATATTTCAGGAGGCAATGTTGCCCATTGTGGAGTAGCCAAAATCCAATTTCGTCTTCTTGTAATTCTACTGTCCCTCGTTTTCCACAATCATTTCACCAAATTCTTAAAGTCTGTTTATTCCAAGACATTCAACACGTGTATGCACCATTTGGTCTTTTTGAAACATGAGATTCAGATTCTGCATGAAGATCATGTCAATCAAATAAATTTGAACCAATCAACACAAGGTTCAATTTTTTCTTCTTCTGATTGGCTTTCCTGAAACATTTGATTCAGATTCTGCATGAAGATCATGTCAATCAAATAAATTTGAACCAATCAACACAAGGTCCAATTTTTTTTTCTTCTGATTGGCTTTCCTGAAACATTTCATTCAGATTCAGATAATCATGTCAACAATATAACTGAAATCTCTGATTCATTGTTCATCACAGGACCAATCATTTGCTATTTCTGGACTATGCGTTGTACAACACCAAGACACTATTTCTCTCTTTTAAGTACATCACTTGAATTGCCAATAGGTTACCAATTGGTAATCAAAACAGACCCGATGACCTCCTGGGTAGCGATCAGTATTACCTTTAAAGCATCTTTCATGATAGTTTGTGTGCCTCTAATCCGTATTTAAATGCATCTAGCGGAGCTTTAACAGCTATGAGAATTTTTCCTTAATTGCTGACATCCTCAATCTTACTTATAATTAAATAAAAGAAGGTAAACTTGGTGTTTGGCTATACATAGATAGCAAGTTTGAAAAATTCATTATTTATTACTTTATTCCCATTTGATTTTCGTGAAACAATCATTACAACGTCAAGAAAGTCGTTAAGTTGAATTCATTCTACCTGCCTTTGTTCCTTTGTCATTCTATGGATATGACACCTGTTCTGACCACGGGTGGTTGGTTTTAATACTGCACATTGTGCAAGAATGTCGACAGTTAGTGTCCTCCAACGGAATGCCAGATGATATCTCGAGGTTTTGGCCTTCTCTATGACCACGGGTGGTTGGTTTTAATACTGCACATTGTGCAAGAATGTCGACAGTTAGTGTCCTCCA